TCCCGTGAGTTAGTTAAACTGATGAACTTGGCGACACCGAAGAGATTTATCTGACTGCCAATGCACTCTGATGGTTCGGGATGACAACGCTTTTTGTGGGGGGGGGGGGTAGACGAGTTGGGGTCAAGCGATCGTGTAGATCCGCCATAGGGTAGGCCTAATTTATTGTCAAGCGCCGTTCGCAAAATTATTCTCTTTGGACGGTAGAAGCAGGAATACAATCTTTTTCGTGACCGTAAGCATTGGCATCTTCTCCTCTTGAGGATTTGCCGTGAACTTGGAAGACGCCCATTGAAAAGTTGTTTGTTGTATAAACACTCTTCTTCAGACTTTAGTGAGTACGGACTGCAAATTCTCCAGGCCCTGTCCAACAATGTCTTCACGAGGCGGAGTTTGCACGAAACTTAGACGAAGTAAGAAGTATTGCTAAAAGGCAGAAACAGACGATCTATCCCCAGACACGCGAGGCATAGGACAACTATATTATCTGATAAATCTATTGTCCTCCATAGGTTCCTTCGTGGTGCATGGTGCGCTGAATGTTGCAGCCATTACGTGTGCACATAAGCACGTCCGACTTGCGCAGTTTGGGTGCACAAAAATGATGGATGTACCCAAGGATCCAAGTTCATGAGCTGCAAAACGTACGACTTCCTTCGCTTCTTGTTCACAAGTGTATTCATCGACTCCGATCTAGCATGGAGCTTTTCATGACGATGAGGCGACCCCTTAGGTACCCGATGTGGAAGAAGTGAACTTAATTATTATGACAAGGATAGTACTTCATCCTTTGATATATCGTCTGATGAGTTCCAGCTAGTCTACTTCTGTGAACAACCTAGAAGTACACAGAGACTGAATCGGGCTGCAGATGAAAAAAGCACCTGGTCCGGATAAGTCGTGTTCTGTGGTTTTCAAAGTGTCTGCAGGTTATTTGGCTGAGCCCCTCGCCGACTTGCACATATTTTACATCAAGCAGTGCAAAATAGCTGACATTTGGCGAAGTGCAACAAACATCACGCCAATGTCAAAGAAAGGAACCTGAAAATATCGTCCCACCGCTTGCACGTCGCTCTTAAGATATTGGAGCGGATTATTCTTAAACGGATCTCAGAAAAGACCCATTTGGATGACCCACATTACTTTGCATATCGCAGCTCAAGGTTCGCCTTAGATGCGGTAGCATATTTGGTACATACTGAGCTCTCGCCACTGGATAATAAAAACTAATCCATCCGAATCTGCTTCCTGGATTTTTGCAACGCTTTCGGTTGTGTGAACCATGATTTACTGTTGCGCGCTTTATTAGGTTCTGGAGTCCAAACTTCTCATGTTCTTCTATTGAAAGATTATTTGACCAGGCGTAGCCACTTTACCAGGTCAATGGGGAAGATCTCTTATTCAATCACCACGAACTCTGGGGTTCTTCAAGGAGCCGTGTTGTCCCCATTCTTGTTTTCCACTTACGTTACTTCAATCCCCGTCCCTGAAGAAGCCATCCTGCTTAAGTATGCGGAAGATGTCATCCTTGGCGTCCAGCATCCAAGCAATGAGCCATCGTCCAAGCTACAAACCATCTTGGAAAACTTAACAGCTTGGTCCAAGTCACGTAGCCTACAGTTAAACACCACAAAATGCAAGAATGTCCATGTTAAGTTGCTAAAAGGAAATCGATACCAGCAAATCCTGACACAACATCCACAAGTTTGCATTGACGGTAAATGTTTGACCAATTCCACTTCCTTAAAATACCTGGGAGTGAAGCTGAGCAGTAGGCATACGTAGTTACTTCAGTCAACGAAATATTCGTTAAGGTTAGAAAACTTTCATTCTACATCACAGGTCTCAGGTCTCCTTCCGTACCCCGATTTTTGATCCAGCGTTTTATCACCCTCTTCTCCCTCGTCTATTGCGTCAGGGACTGCCAATGAACTCAAAATTGATGCTAGAAAACCAAGAATCCCATTTCGCAATGGTTCCTTTGATGTTCACACTGTTTCAGATCGGTCAAAAGGCTGCACGAACCCTCGCTATCCACTCCCTTCGTATTGGTGTGCGCTGTGTCTCCAAAACACATGTACAAGAGAACAGCGTCGTGACAAATTTTCGACTTGCTCGTTCCGAATTCGTTGAAAACTACTACACGCTTCGCGTCTCTGGCCATATTGTCAATGGTTAAAGGTTAATACAATGTCGGTATCGCCCTCAGTAATTATACCGAAAGCAAACAACATCTGAGGCAATCTAATCAGGGAACTGGATCCTCCATTCTGTTTTACTCAGCATGCCAGTTGCATCTCCTCGGAGCATCTAGGAATGTCGGTGCAGTATGGCTCGTTCCACATTCGCCTGGATGACAATCCAAATGACTTCTATGGGGTTCAGTGAAGGCGAATATGGTGCAAGTCGCACGAGTCTTCCTGATTGGTAACGCTCCTCTTCGACAAGCCTTCCAGATCCGTGTGGCATGGTGCGCTGTCGAATATCAGAAGACACCTACCAGTAACAGCGGTGCCGTTGGCATCAAGCATTAGGCACAACCACGGTGCACAACTTCCCTTTCTGCAACTCCCTCTTAGGACGGTAGATTCCGGAAGTCCATCTGAGATCATTGAGGTGATAAGGTGCAAATTTTGCCCATAGGTGCTGACTACAATACATTACGCACGTCTGCCAAGTGCTGAACGCCCCCTTATGCGAGCGAAAAGCAGATTGAAATTCATTTCATCAATCCAAACTGCTTGCCACCCTTCAGCATCAAAGTTCATGAGCCGCAAAACCCACGACCTCCTTCGTTTCTGGTTCGCAATTGTATTCATGGACTCAGGCATAGCATGTATTGTTTTCAAGGTGATGAGGCAACCCTCTGTTCACCAGTATCAACTCGAGTAGATTGCATTCAACATGATTTCTGAGGACGATACCGACCTTATACAAACATTGAGCGAATGTCTCAATATCGCCGATTCGCGAATTCGGAACCCGCAAGTCGAAGATTCGTCACGACACTGTTATCTTGTACATGTGTTTCGGAGACACAGCACACACACACACACACACCAATACCAAGGGGTGGATAGTGAGAGTTTGTGCAGCCTGTTGATGGATATGAAACAGTGTGTGAACGTTACATGCACCATTGCGAAATGAGAACCATGGTTCGCTAGCTTCAGTGGCCAGGTCAATGAGAGTTCTATGCGTAATAGACAAAGGAGAAGAGACCGTTGAGTGCAGTGGAGAAGTGTAGGCGACAGCGTCGAGAGGGTGGATGATACTGTCTGACTGTCCATTCAGGAAGAGGAATTTTGTTCGAGGTGCCCTACCTGTAGCATTCCACTCAATAGTCTGACCCCCAAGGCACTGACGTATATGTAGATTCACTTGAGTGGTTCCACCCGGAGCATTTTGCTCAACCGTCTGACTCACAAAACGGTGGGGAACAAGTCCGATTGGAGAGGGTGATTGCAATGTTTCATTGGGATCTGCTTGGAGCCTGTCACATGCAGCGTCCGACGATCTAGGACAATGTTTGTATGTTTTTCTCACCTGCGTCCATGGCCAACCGCATGTGGGAATTGGCGGGTTTGCACCTATGTGATCAGGAGCTGCCTGGATTGAGGTGGACGGTAGCAAACTATTAAGCACCACGTGGTGCACTCTCACGGTCAGAGACGATGCGTGGCACTCGTGTTATATGTCAACCGAGCTGTGAAATACTCCAAATCCGGTTGTCTCTCGTGGCTGTTCTAAGGGATGAGAGCCTTGGCTTTACCAACCCTCGAAGAGGATTGTGAGACTGAGTTAATCCGACCGTTAACCGCCATCGCATTGCGGCTGGACCTTATCGTGGTGCGATGGTTTGTGTACCTCAGCGATCCATTGAGCTATGCTGGGTGGTACTTTTGCACCTTTAGAGTCACTTATACCAGATTGGTCAATGGTTAGAGGCCAGACAAACTCAGCATCCTGGTCCTCCAGGTTGGGGGTTGGAATGAGGATGGCACCTTATTCCTTAAAACGGACTCCTTGTAGCCCAACGCCAAACCCACTGCCTTGCGGACAGGTTTTTGAACCAAAGGCTTTGGTTGAGAACCCTAATCATTCTCCTGTCTAGGCCTGGGCAACCTGACAGTATCCTGCCAACGCAATACCATGAATATCATCTCAAACAAATTTCTGATGCTCTGGCCACCGCAGAGGATAATCAACGGTGCCTTAGCTGCTGCATCGAGCAGGGTGGATAGAGGTTTGGATGCTACTGCTCAAACCTTCTCGTCTTCTTATTCCCCATCTTACGCTTTTTCACTCTTACCGTCCCCTTCCAACTTCACTTATATCCCTCCAGTTTTCAACAACCCGATTCTTGGCTCTCGTCCAACATGCTTTGCTAGGCATTTATCTTCTAATTTCAACTCACCTCTGAACGCGGAGCGTCATTCCTCTGCTGTCGACAAGCCCATGTCCAATCAAGCGGTCCATTCCAGTTCATCGTTTTCCATTTGGAGCCCTCGATCCTCCTTCAGATTGTCATGCCTTAATGTACGCACACTACTACAGATCGGTCAACAGGCGGCACTTGCCCGAATATTGGAGACCTTCTCGACCGATTTCCGCTGCTTATCGGAGACCCGCCTGCAAGACTCGAGCTCTGTGCTCCCACACGGTTGTATAAAGCTTATAGTGACTCAAGTTGAATTGCTATTGCACTTTAATTTCCATTTGTATTGTGCCGTTTGGATTTGGACCCGGGGTTTTACGCGTTACTAGAAACGCAAACAAGTTTGTCGCTTATACCCATATTGCCTTGCATACCCACACCTAATTCTCATTTTACACCATCGTTATTTAGAAGCGCAGTCGATCTGATAGACCCTTAAATAGAGGACTCATTTCATTTGACATTGTAACTTCACTCAAACCATCCTAATGGACTTGGCATGCGCCTGCTTTCTTACTCATGACAAATACTGAATCATTATTCAAATTTGTCACTCACCGACTTCGCCAGTACACGAATACAGACGGCAAAAGTCTGCTATTGTGGAAGATAGGTCACTTTTCAGTTGTTTTCTTACTTTGGGATTAAGGCGAGGATTCTGTCAATGAGAAGAATTGAAATGGTCGTTTATAGAGATGATGTGTCACTTGGGATGCAAAATGAGGCCATACAACAACCAATGATTAATCGTACTTTGCGGATTAAAAAACCTAATCTTAACATATTCCGCAGGATGGTGGGTGAGGGTTTTCAAAGGAAAAAGAATAAAAGCTCTTAACAGCGAACAGCCGAAAAGGCTGAACTAGTCAAAAATAAGTTGGTCCATCAGCATGGTTCACATACGGGTTTCTACAGCTTGAAATGTCACTGCCTTTGGCTATTCAGAAAAACCGATGTGGAATTATTGCAGGTTTGTTCCCTGAATATGGGTACAATTCAAGTGTGCTTTATGAGATGTGCGAGATTGGTCTGCTTGTAGATGGGTCCAGCCTACGCATGTGAACCTTATGTGAAGATAATGCAAGCGAAGTGCGTCTTAAATGACAGTTTAACAGAAGTAGTAAGTTTAGCGCTGTTGTTTCTGTGGCTACCTAGACCTTTTCAAACTTTACAACTGATAGCCAAATGGAAGAGACTTAAGCATAACATCATAGTCACGGTCAGTAGTACGTGATCTGACCGGGCGTCGGTTTCCTCGGACCATCCGCAAAGCCACCATTAAGTATTCATGTGTTACGGATGAAGTTAACAGGTAGCGAATATTCGGAACCGGGAAAGCCATGCATAAGGAGGTATTACTCTGTACGACAAATGTCTCTCTCCCAGTTGACCAACTAACCTACGCCACTGCATCACGCCTAACTCAGCTACCAGCATGGTAACTGATGTGTTCTTCAGTCTCCGATGATCGCACTTTCAAGTGGACGTATTTGCTAAGGGAACTTAGCACTTGACCGAGTGCGCAACAACCATCGGCTTACCGTTGGCAAGAAGTTGACGGTCTACAAATCCACGATGCTGTCCGTTCTTCTGCAAGGCAGTGAAACGTGGACGATGTACCGGCGGGATGTGCGATAACTCGAGCGGTTTCATCAACAGTGTCTGCGACGGATTCTGCGCATCGTTTGGTGCGACAGAGTTGCAGACACGGAGGTGTTGCGCCGAAGTGGAATGTATGCAGTGGACTGCATACTATTGCTGGGACACTTGAGGTGCCTCGGTCATGTGTGGCGTATGGATTCGACGCGGATACGGAAACAGCTGCCGTATGGCCAACTAAGTGCACCGAAGCGGCACGTGGGAAAAACGAAGTTACTTTACCAGGACATGATCAAAGTTAACCTATCAGCTTCTAATGTTGATTACAGGTGTGCGAAATCGAAGGCAGTTGATCAGCGTGCATGGCGCGATCTGATCACGAAGGCAGTTGCTGAGGTGCAAGCGAAAACCCTCGTGCATGCGGAAAAGAAGCGGCAGTTGCGGAAGCGACAGACGCCGACGGACTGTACTCCATCGACGTCGAGCGCATGGTGTCGTAGCACATGCGGTCGCGAATGCCTGAGTCAGGCAGGTCTAGTTAGCCACGAGCGAGGCCACTCGGGACCAATATCGAAACGACGACGGGTCCTGCTGAGAAGGTAAGCAGAACCAGCGCAGCCTACGTAGGTACACTGCATTCAATATTTCAATTGTTCAATAGTGTATGACGGGATAAAATACATAACTTTACAGGACCCACAGAATACAAAATGCATAAGAAAACTATAAGCAAAATGTTACAAAGTGGAACGTAAAGAATCAGCAGTTAAACCATTGCACTTTATCAAATTGTTGTGTGGCGTTTAGCACTAAGATGAAGCTTGTGAGTCTTTCGAATGTCGACATGTCTGGTGCGTTCATCAAATACCTTGTCAATGCATTCCCGTGAAGATAAGTCCTAAATGAGTAAAAACATGTTCTACAATCCAAACGGGAGTGTTGCATCATTAGTTGCAGGTGGTTGCCGTCAGCATTGTTTGTATGGAACTAGGGTCAGCAGTGATGTACATGGATGCTCGCTTTAAAATAGTATTCGATAGGTGAGAGTAACATCTCCGCGAAGCTGTCGGTATTCTAATGAGAACACACCGAGTACACGAAGACGCAGTTCGTAACTTATACCGGATAGTCCACGCGTTGCCTTTGTGACTCTTCTTTGAGGTGTTCCAATAGGCGAATATCTCGTTTTAACTATGAACACCAGGCCTGAATTGCATATTCAACATGAGGACGAATGTAGGAGTTAAACAACAATTGTACTAGCCGTCGCTCAAAGGTGCCGAGAGCTCGCCTCAAAAGTCTCATGTTCAAGTTCGCCACACTTGCTGCTTTCGAACATTGGAGCGAATTTCCAAGACTCGCTTGCACGATTATACCTAAGTCGCGTTCACTAGTCAAGTATTGCAGGACGTGTTGTCCCAATAGATATGCGTTGACATAGCTGCTGTGCACCGTCAGCAGGTGGCATCTTGCAGGGTTCAGTGGGAGCTGGTTCTTTTTTGCCCATTCGTTAATGCGGGTCAGATCTTCCTGGAGATAGACACGGTCGGATGCTGAGCGAATTGTTCTCCGCATTTTTGCATCGTCTGCAAATATTTGCATCGGGGATAGAATATCTACTGGAAGGTCATAAATGTAGACTAAAAACAGTAAAGAGCCGAGGACGGATCCTTGTGGTACACCACTGGAGACGCACAGGCTTGCAGAGTCTGTATCGGCCACTTTTACCTTGATTGCTCTGTCGTGTAAGTAGTCTTCTAACCAGGTGAGCAGGGAACCGTTGATGCCGTGGGCAGCAAGCTTTTGGAGGAGAAAGAAGTGATTGACCCTGTCGAATGCTTTAGAAAAATCCAGGTATATCACATCTATGGAGACTCCTTCATCAGTTGCCCTGCTCCATGAGTCCCGAGTAAGCAGCAAATGAGTGAAGCAATGTCGTCTGCGTCTGAAACCATGTTGGGCATTGGAAATTATCTGTTGACTTTCGAAGTGTCTCGTCAGTTCGTCTGCGATTACCGAGTCCATCACTTTTGATAGAACAGGAAGGAGAGTAATGGGTCTGTAGTTGGCAAGAGCCGATCGCTTATCTCCTTTGTATATTGGAGTGACAATTCCATTTTCCCCTCAGATGGAAGTGTATGGGTGTTAAGCAGACCATGGAAATGCTTGAAAGTTGTTCTGCTATGGTGGGAGCAAGGGTTTTTACTACTTTTGGGCAGACCATGTCGATTCCAGGGGCACTCTACTCCCGGAGTGACGGGAATTTCCTTGCAACAGCTGCTGGGTTAAAGGTGACGCTGGATAAGCCAACGACATTTGTTTGGAGTTGATCGGGCGAAGGTTCAATGTTATTTGTAGCTACCGAAGCAAATTGTAGGAGTAGAGGGTTCGCGACATCCACAGCAGCGGTTGTTAGGCCAATGGCCGTCCTGTGTGGCGGTATTCCGGGCTTAACCTTTCGTTTGCCATTCGCAAATCTGTATGGTAGTTTGGTGTTACTCGTAAGTTTCAGCACCATATTCTCCTGCCATTCATACTTATCGACCCTGAGGAGCGACGTGTAGTGGTTTCTGATTGCGTTGTAATTATGCCATGTGGTATTACATGGGCTTAGCAAATGTTGTCTTCAGATCTCATCTCTTCTGTTGATCCATTTACGCGTTCTGCTTCGGGTCCACTTATTGGTCCGGCGCGATGCTCATAATGGTACAACCTTCGATGCTGATTGTGTGACCCAGTTAATTTTGTCTTTCAATTCATCTCATGCGTCATTCGCTGAGCTGTGCGTCTGTTGGTCTCAATCAACGGTGGCCGCTAAGTAGTGCAGTGTAAAATAGTTCGTAATAGTTCTTTGAGTTCCTTTTGCTTTAGCAACGGGACTGGCATAACGCACATAACCAAAGCTTAGGACTGAATGGTTGCTGCGTCCCAGTGGAGGGTCGTATGCTACTGACTCAACTAGCAATTCTTCAGTAGTCAGGATTAAGTCCAGGGGTGATAGCTTGTTCTGTTCGGCGAACCGCCCAGTTAGCGCCACGAGGACGTTGTTCGTCAAGCCAGAGGGTTTAACAGAATCTTGTCACTGTCTGCTGACGAGTTCGGTGGCCTGCAGATAACAGTTAATATACAAGCAACACGCGTCTTCTTTTGTCATCAATCTCGACCTGATAGGTGTAGTCGGCAAAATAGTACGTTGGGAATAACAAGGGAATTTTCAGTAACAGCCTCATATTTCAACTAATCTCGATAGTGGATGGCAAGACAGCCACCGCGATTTGGACGGTCATTCCGAATGACCAAAATCTCACTGAATTCCATCTCCGGATCAAGTATGTCGTTGAAAGCCGTTTCACTAACTGCTATGAGGTCCCAAGTTGTTATTTCATGTCGATAGCGCAGTTCCGGGAACTTAGAGTACAACGCCTGAGTGTTGTTATAGCAGCAGTATATTTGTTGACGCATTAGGATCTCGGTTCACTGTGAGTGACCGGAACAAATAGTGCCGGTATGCTGAAATTTTTTGAAACAGTTGTTTGTACTGTTGGCTGATTTGCGATAGGTACAACCGAGACTGACTTATCTATATCTGCGGTCTGTACTAATTGAAGTAATGGTCTTAACCATACTTTTGGTGGCCCAAGTTCCCTGTTGTCAAGCCACGCTTGGATCGCCACTGATACCATTTCGGGCGCAGCCAAGGTAACTTTCAAAATTTTCGGCCCGCTGCCTTGCTGCTTTGTGGAGGCAACTAGACGGCTGACCTCAAAAGCTCTGCGTTGTACCCCCATTCTTCGATGTCGTGCTTCTGTCGTTCACTGCTATCGTCATGCTTCAGTGCTGGTACGCCATGAGCCAGCACCACTTTCTTCATCTAATTTCGACGTGACGCACTAGGGTTGGATTTCCGCTTCTGTCTTTCTGCTCATGGTCTGTCAGGAAAAATGCGGGCACTGACAGAAGAGTTCACTAGAATGTGGCTTGCTACGAGAACGTCTTCCAGGTCGCATGTGTTGTTAGACGTGACTCGCAGTAACCGAGGTTCCTCTATGTGTGGAGATG